ATGTCTTAACATAGTTATTTTGAAATACTATACAGTTCATATTTGTCATAGTGATACCCAGATATTTTACCTTCTTCTCAATCTTAAAACCCATTTTATTCATCAATTCTGTTTGATCTTCTATTTTCATATTTTTGTTAACATCGTCATCTTCTGTTTATTAATCTTGAAACCTGTTAATGCACCAAATTCTTTTGATTTACCCATTAATATTTCAGTTCCCTTTAAAGGATCTTCTAGGACCAACACCAAGTCATCTGCAAAAGCGCTTAACTTATAAATTTCCTTTTTAATCTTTATTCCCACAATCCTCTCATCTTGTCTTATATCTCTATCAATACTTCAAGAACCAAAATAAACAAGAGGAGACAGTAGGCATCCCTGTCTTGTTCCTTCTTGTATCTTACAGGTTTTTGTTAGATCTCCATTAACAATTATTTGTGCTTTCTATGAAGTGTAAATCAATCTTACCCATTTTATAAAGTTCTCTCCAAAATTCTTATCTTCCAAAACCTTGAACAAGAAAGCCCAGTTCAAATTGTCAAAAGCCTTCTCTTATATATCTTCAAATATTCCAAAATGTCCAACATATTTCTAACATTGTCCTTTAACTGTCTTTTAGGTAAAAACCCACATTGATCCTCAATTCTTGCAAATTTATTTTCAGTCGGTAAGCTAGAATCATTGTGAACAACTTGTAGTCATTATTCAATAATTATATTGGCCTACAGTTTCTTATTATAGTCAAATCTTGTTCCTCTTTGGGTATTAATGCTATATTGGCTTCTTTCCAACTCTCTGCATCTTTTCTCCCTGTAGGACAGGGCTCATCGTGTTTTGTAATGGTTGTAAAGTTCATCCTCAACACATTTATAATAAGAACCCGATAATCCAGGCACCTTTCCTAGTTCAATATTTTTTATAGCTTCAGAAATTTCCCTTATTATTATAATAGGTCTGTTCGTAATCTGTTCCCCTGTAATCCTCAGTAAATTTTGTTTCTTTAGATATTAATCTATTTTCTCTAGAGAGATGTCACTTCCCTTATACAAATTGGAATAATATTGATGAAATGCATTTTGTATAGCCACATTGTCCATTAACACAGTATCACCCTCTTGTAGTTTCAATATCATTTTCTTTTCTTTTTCTTTTCATAATTTATATGCTAGCCACTTCCATGGTTTATTTGCAAACTCAATTTTTTTTGCTTTACATAATTCATTTTTATTTCTATTTCTCTTACTGCTAACATAGATAAATCTTGTTGTGAAAGCTTAATTTGTTGAGAAATACTTATCATCTCTGGAAATTTCTTTAATTCTTCTTTTGTCTTTATTTCATCCAAAATAGCCTGTTTTTTCTCTTGACTTGAAGTTTTAAGTTCACTATTATGTTATATAAAATAACCACTAATAAAACTTTACTTGCATCCCAAACCATTCTTAAATCAGTGACTTTACCTAAATAATTTTCAAACAATTCTTTTAATTTTTTTTACAGTCCTCCACTATTGCTTCTTTCTGTAGCAATGTTTCATTTAGACTCCATCTTAAAGAATTAGATTTTCTTTTATAAACCAAACTCACAGGATTATGATCCAAACAAGTCTTTAGTAATAGCTCTACTTTAGAAAACTTAGTAGCCAAGTTCTTTGAAGTCCAAATCATGTCTATTCTTGAAAAGGATCTATGTCTTTCAGAAAAGTAGGTATACTCTCTTGAACTGCCATTTTTCTGTCTCCATATATCAATTAGCCCTAAATTGTCCATCAAATCAAAGAAAACTTTTGGAAATTTGCTTTGAGTGATTTTAATATTTTCCGCAGAAGTTCTCTCCAGTTGTGGGGAGATCACGCCATTCCAATCCCCCATCAAATACCAATTTTCATAAGAGAAACCTATTAATCTCTCCATAAGTCATTTATAAAACAAGATTTTGTCCTCATTTGGGGATTAGTCCCATACATATTAGCTTCCACCCTAACAAATCTACCATGCTCGTCAGTCAATACAAGTTCTGGTTTTAGTTGAGGATTTATACATAAAACAGCTCCATTTCCTTTTTTTATGTTTTGTTCCAGCTGAAATATTTTTTTTGCCCTATTTTTTATAAATCAAATATTTATGTCCTTTTTTCTAATATGTGTCTCTTGTAGGCAAATTATATCTTGTTTTAATTTTTTCAAATAATGATTTTTTTTCTCTTTTGAGGAGAACTTGCCTTTTTTTATGTTTTGTTCCAGCTGAAATATTTTTTTTGCCCTATTTTTTATAAATCAAATATTTATGTCCTTTTTTCTAATATGTGTCTCTTGTAGGCAAATTATATCTTGTTTTAATTTTTTCAAATAATGATTTTTTTTCTCTTTTGAGGAGAACTTGCTCCATTTATATTCTATGTTAAGCATTTATAATCCATAATCAAGCCAAAAATTTAGAAAAATTGACACCTGTAGTGCCTAGTTCAGTATCATTCCTCTGTCACTTCCATATGAATCTCCTCCAATTCCTCTTTGAATTTTTCTAGAAATTCTCTTGCCTTCTGGACAGAATTCAATCAAAACTTCTGTTGTTTAAAAGTAAAAATCACACCTTGCAATTTGTCTCATTGAAATGGGATCTCTTTCTGCTTTAAACTTTCAGTCAAAAAAGAATACTCTTTTCTCTTATACAAAATTCTAATAGGAATTTCTTCAAGAACAATTATATCTGTATTATCAATCTTCAGTCTTATATTAAAATGCTGTTGCAACACTTGATCCCTTGTCTTCTTCCTAACAAGGTGCCCCAAAACATCCCTTGGAACATTTCTTATTTTTGCAAATCTTGTATTTATTCTATATACTTCATCAATTTCTGCCTCTGTATCCTTCTCATCCCAATCCAAAAAATTTGCTAAGATTTTAATAATCTTTTTTCTAATATCCTCAGCAGAATCCCCTAGGATTGCTCTAAATCTCAAACAAAATCTCTTCTCTCTAAATTCCAATAGAGCCAGATTATTTAGTTCACTTTCCAGCTCTCTGTCTATAACTTCTGTCTTACTCCTCAAAATTTCCACTTTGTCATTAATTTGTTTTACATCTCCAGACACTTGTTTTACAGAGCTTTCCATCTTCTTAAATTCTTTCATCTCCTCTTTCATCTTTGCAAGACTTTCATTCTATAACTTCTGTCTTACTCCTCAAAATTTCCACTTTGTCATTAATTTGTTTTACATCTCCAGACACTTGTTTTACAGAGCTTTCCATCTTCTTAAATTCTTTCATCTCCTCTTTCATCTTTGCAAGACTTTCATCCATTCTTTTTTCAAAAGCCAACAATTTAGTATTAAGTGATTCATCTAACTTATTGCCCAGTTGCTCAAACATTTTTTGAAGCAAATCTGGTGTAATTCTCTCTCTGCAGGTTGCTTTAGAGATCCTCTCCTTCCATTCCATTCTTGCCGCTTTTCTGCTGGTTGCCATTACAATATTATAATCCCAAAAATGAAAGTATCTCAAACAAAGGAAAATGAAAAGGCAAGCTTCCCCTTTTTTCCTCTTTTGTCTTCCTGTGCCCTTAATACTTTAATCTCAAAGGGCACTCCGTAGTTACAATCAGCATCACAATCAACATCTCCACAGTTACAGTCAGCATCACAGTCTGGCTCATATTACCTTTATGTTTTGTTTTATAAAATCTACCAATTGTCTGTACTCTTTAATAGTAAGGAAAAAACATTCCCATGAAGGTCTGGTTCGTTTGTCTAATTTAATTCCAATTTGTTCAAAAGCACTTTCACCAAAAATAATCTTTCAAAATAACTGTCTCCTTTATCCGTTTTAAACTTTCTCCTTGTTAAGCTTTCATCAAAAGTTTTTAACTCTTTAAAACCTTTTTTTTCTTTATTCCTTTGTAATCCAGAAAAAATAATAACTCACCAAAAGGAATTTTCTTATCCTGCCACTCAGAAAATCTCTCTTCAGCTGTAAATTAGTTACGTACAAAAGTAGTTAAGAAATGAAGCTCATGTGAATCTTATGTCCATAAAGGCTGCATTACAGCTGTGAGCTTGATTGAAATCCCTCAACAGTTTTTGCCAACTGCAAAAACCTCAATTCCTGCAGTCTACTCATGAGGAGCATCTGTCTGGAGTGCAAGTGGACAATCTTACAATCTCTCCTTTTTCAGGAGAGACTTTGCCAGCCAGAATTTGCTTTCTGGCTGCTGATCTCCACCACAACGCCATACCCGCTCCTCCAGGGACATCTAGTTCACTATGAATCCTCACCGGCAGCTTGGTTACTTCAAAATCTCTTAAGAGATTTTCTGAGATCTTGCAGGAATTCAGCAACTTCATATGAAATTGTGTGAGATTTCACAATTTTAGCCATTTTTTAAAGTGTGTGTTCATGCCATCATGAGATCATATGATAGTATTCATCCTCTGAAAAGGTGCCAAAGCCTATTTTAAAACATTTTCATAAGTCTGTTATGCTAGCTGCATATTACATGCAGCCTCCAGACACTTTCAAAGAAGGACTTGTCACAGCAAAATACTGTCTGAAAGAACTTCCCACCACTTTGTTATTCCCCATGCCTCAACATTTTATTCATTTTTTTCTCATCATAAAAGATAACCTGAAAAAATGAAATAGACCAAACTCACAGACCAAAGTCATAACTGAAATGATCAACTATACCTTTAATTTGAAAGGCAAGAGATTACATTAAGGAAGAAGGTGTAATAATCCAAAGGTGAAAAGAATTTCTATTGTCTTATATATCTCTCTGTGGGAATTTTCACAGCACAGCCATCTATTGGGTGGCAGGGGGGAGGGGGCGGCTTGTGAAATTCGAGTTCCTCATGCTTCCCATCCCATCAATAAATGCCTGCAATCATACTCTTGAGCTGTGGTGCGATTTCAAGGTTCATCTCTTCCGAGCAACTCAAACACTAATTATCCCAGCTGTAATTAGTAAGATAATTAAATACTGGCTCACTCATCACTCTACCTTGTGTCGGGTCATGATTCTCCCAGAAGACCTTGAGCAGTTTCTCAAAGCTGATGGTTTCCGGCTGAAATACCACTCGCACAACTTCAGTATGGCCAGTTTTGCCTTAAAATAATAAGAAACAAGAATATTAATCATTGAAACCAACCCAAAGAATGGATTTATTCTTCAATAATAAATTAAATTAGTAAAAATATGTGGAGAGAAAAAGACTTGCTATACAGTTGTAGGCCATGCCACTTTTTCTGGTGGTTTCAGAAGAACCTCATCACAGGAATGGCAATGCTTTATTCCATTGGGAAATTGTACTTTTTTGCTTCATTTTTTCCCAGCCTTGCAGGGCATGGCAATAAAGTCATGAGGTCACACAGGTGATGGGCAGGGGGAACAGTTTCACCTCCTTTTTGTTCCGGCTCTGCTCCTTCTTTTTAGGGAGCAGGTGGGTTCATTTTTGAAAGGAAAATTGATATGCTATATCTAAGCTATAAATCTAGATTAACACACATTTTGCTGGTTTCTTCTCAAAAAAAACATAAAATAAACAGAAAAGCATTCTGCCAAAATTTTCTCAGTACAATCTTCTCTATTTTTGGAAGTCACATATAAATAGTTAGTAGTGATATGTGTCTGAAGGTTGCCCATCCTTGCCATATGAAATGATTCTCCAAGCTAATAATGCAAATCTCACTGTAGGGAAGGTTGAGCTGGAGAAAATTGCCAGAAAGTCTAATCAGAATCATATATCATGGGATGAATGTGGGCAGAAATGACTTTAATAATTTCACGTTTACTTTTATTATTATCAAAATGCTTCCCATTTTCAACACCTACTTGGTACAAAACTCATATTATTTCAGCAAAGTTTCTTGTAACTTCTATTGCTTCTTGCTTCTTCTAGCTTGGCCTCACTGTTCTCAGCTGTATCACCTCTGATTAAAGAAGTGGACTATGAAAACAAATGTAATTTTCTTCATGACATTGTAATGCTATGTCTGATGGAATGACATTAATATTACCTGCAAATAAATTAATATGGATTTCCTTGGCCAAATTCAGTGGTAATGAGGGACACAGGAAAATGATACTGAGAGGATACATCAAACAGAGGACTACAGTGACATCCAAGAGCATAAGCCTTTGGCAGTACAAACAGCACAAGCCTTCATTCTTTGGCACTATGTCCATGTCAAATTTGCTAATTTCCATGTCAACACAAAAATTAGGAAACATTTGACAGAGCCCTAACTATCCTTAGTTGTAATAATTACCTGTCTTTTCAAATCCCCTAGTACTTCTCTTTGAATAATTACAAGGAATCTGCTGCCATGCTCAGCCCTACCCTTTGCTGTATTCTCATTTTTCCAGTGTAGAAAAATCAGTCACTGAGCCATGTTCAAGGATCAGATCTACACATGTGCATTTCTGAGGACAGACTCAGCACTGGTGCACTCATTCCAATTCTTCTGTTTTTTCAATGACTGAGTTGCTAGTCATTTGCATTTCAGCTAAATAGCTTCCATTGTACTGTAGTACTAGAATTAATACTAAGATACATGGAAAATGGTATGATTAATCATAAATCATTCTTCCACTGGTATCATCACATAATCTAATCAATTTGATTAGCTCAACAATATTTACATTATTAAAAGAGATTTAGATCTATTTTATAGTTGCTGAAGCCTAGGATATGATTCATTTTGTTGCTCTTGGCAGTTGAAGATACTCATATATATATTGCAAATTTCTAATAACTTCAGTGCGGCATTTGTAAAAGATTTAAACAATAAATTAAGTATCCCGATGCAAAATGAAGCATTTCCATTGCTATTTGTCCTAGATGTACCCCAATTACCAAAGAATGTAGTCTTAATTTGCCATTACAAGATCCAGAAGAAACCAGGATAAAAAGATTATAATGACGATGGTGATGATGGAATCATACATTTGGGAAGAACCATTTACAGTGGTGCTTAAAAGTTTGTGAACCCTTTTGAATTTTCAATATTTCTGCAAAAATATTACCTAAAATGTGATCTGCTCTCTATACAAGTCCTTAGATAAAGAAAACCTAAACAAAATGACTCAAAAACATTATACTTGTTCTTGTACTGATTGAGGAAAATGATTCAAAGCTACATATTTGTGTCTGGCAAAAGTATGTGAAACTAGAACAGGAACAAGATGGCAAACCTGGCAAACAACCCAAAACATCCCACTAACATCTAACATCCAGCAAAGGGGGTTCCAACAACCTAGTCCAAGGCTTGGGAACACAGCCAGGTCTTTATCCGCATAACCTCTGCTTCAGGACATCCAGTGAAGGGAAGCCTACCACTTCCCGGGTAATTGGTTCCACTGTCAAACTACTTTTACTGATAGGAATGTTTTTCTAATGTTTAAACAGAATCTGCTTTTCTGTAATTTAAATCCATTAATTCACATCTGAAACAACAAATAATAGGTTTGACTTTTTTCTGTGTGATAACCCTTCTGGTATATGAGGACTACAATCCTATTCCACTTGAGTCACCTGTTCCCATGGCTAAAAATTCCCAATACCATTCCTCCTTCTGTGAATTACAGTATTATTTTTATGTTGTTCATTCCAAAAGAGAAAGCATTCCTAGACAGAAAAGGGTAAAGGACTTTTTGCAAAAGTGGCATTCTATACAGTTGCTTACTGAACACAAGACAAATGAAAATAGCAAACAGGATCATAACTGAGGTAGCTTTGCAGGCAGCACCGAAGCAAAGCATAATACAACTGTTAGTGTGGAAACAGAAAATAACTTCTATTTGAATAAGATTCAACAGGTATTTACACCTTATGTAGGCATAAGCTAAACTGGTCAGAATTACATGCATTTTAATCCCTGGCACCTAATGCCAGCAAAGACGACGTTATTTAAAAAGTTAAGTACTGAAAATATCCCAGTAGGAAAGGTGAGGGAAGGCACTCTTGTTTGGAAGACTAAGAACTCACTGGAGTTTTAAAAATTGATTTCATCAAATGTCATTTAATGATGCACAATTGCTAATGAAATATGTCATGTTAAACAATAAACATGGTGAGTTGCAATTCTTTTTTTTTTCTTTTTTCTTTTTTGAGATCATGGAATGACTTTGAGGAAGGCCACTGTGAACCCTAAACTGCGTGAGGAAAAATGAATTTGAGAAACATTTATACCTTTTAAATCTTTGTTAATGCAAAGGTTATTGCATCCAAACTATGCCTAAAACAATGTAAAGACTATCACTACCATTCTGATCAAAAATCTAGGTTCAGGCAATAGCTTAAATATAATTAACCAATTAACACCAAATTGGGAAGAGCATTTCCGATCTGGATCTCTTCACAGAGTAAGATATATTTTGCTGATCCTAATAAAGGTATTCTCTGATTGTGGGTATTGGCATTTTTCCCAAGTCAACCTTATGGGAATTATGCAAGTCTTTCTTGAATGGCTGAGCAGTCCAAAGAGCAATACTGAGTAGTCTGATGTCAGAGCATTCTGAGAAATCTAAATCCTGCTCATTGCAGCCCAATAGAACAGAAAGGAAGTTCATAGGGGAGCGGGCTTTAAACCCTGAGCCCGGTCTGCCCCACCTCGGCACATACTCTTAGCAGCTTTCCAGTGTCATCATGATTTCCTGATGAGGCTGATGCAGAGAGAGAAGGGAAAGTTTTAGAGTGTGGGAACAGCAAATAGTACAATTCAGGATGGGAAGACAGGGCTTACCAGACATCCTCTTACCAGGCCAAACTTTTTTATCGACCACTGTAACAAGTTTTACAGGGTTTTTTTCCCTATGTTGATAAAAAGTCAGATTTCACCTATACATTAATGAATTGATGAGTTAGTGACAAGAAAATAGTTCTCAGTGTCAGAGTTCAATGAAAATATTGTGGGCCAAACTATTGGCTGGGGTGTGCAGTATAGGTAGTCCCCACGTTAAGAAGGTCTGGTTTAAGGATGACCCATAGTTAAGAACAGAGCCTATTGTAGCAATAGTTCAAGTTAAATACACAATGGTTCGAGTTCATTACACAATACTA